CTTCATCTTATAAACTTGAAACTAAATATGTAAGAAGTAAATCTAAAAATTATCTTTAAATGTTCCAATATTACTTACAAATTTAGTAAGATTTCCACTTAAAAATCCAAAATTTGTCATTAACCTAATTAAACATTTAAAAGTATAATTATAATTCTGATAGTCTCTCAATAGACCATATTCTTTCAAGCATAATATGAAATACCAAACATTCAAATGTCTTATCACAAAAGCACTAGTTCTATGATTTTGGTTTCTTTATTTTTTCATTCAATAATTATCTCAAATATATGTGTGTGCCAGGCAATACTCTAGACTAGAAAAACATTAGCAAACAAAAATGAAAACTCTGTCCTTGTGAGGCTCAAATTCTAGAGAAGTGGAAAATAGTAAGCAACATAAATGAGTAAAAGATATAATGTATTAGATTTTGTAAATGTTAAAGAAAAAAATCAATGAAGGCAGGATATGAAATGTGAGAGATGGGTGGAATGGTGGTTGCAGATGATGCTACCTTTTTCAAGGATTAATACTTTGTACAGAGACCTTATTAATTAATTGAGGCTACTTTCCAACAGAGAGAGGTTACCTTCTGAGTACCCCTGAGGTTGTACAAGGACTGGAGATTTGGCTTGTTACATTGACTGGATTCCCACTGCTGACCCTGGTGAATACTCTGAACTTGTTTGTCCACAACTCCCTGACTCCCAACGGGAAACCTCAGCCCTCACATCACTTGATTGGATTTTGTATGTCTTTGGCTCTTAAAATATATAAACATACTTCCCACCCAAGTGTAACTACCTTTGACATAGCCCTGAAGTCCTTCAGATTCTTCAGACCACTCAGTCTTAAGAGACGGATCTGTCTGAATTCTGGGCATCCCTCATGGTTTTGTCCTGAAATTTGGACACAATTTTCCCAGTCACTTTCCTGATCAGTTTTAGCTCTCTAAGAGGATAGAGAACTTCAAGGAGACAAATACTATGTCTTAGCTCTGTTTTGTTTCTAATTTATTATTGTGTCCTGCAAAACACAATGGGTTACCCAAGTAGTCCCTCACTACATGTTGTTTAAAGCAGAATAGTGCAGCTCAATGACACAGGGCCATGTCCCACTCAGCCTCCCAGTTCCAGGGAACTGCTTAAAGACTGGACTCCCTCAAGTGTGAATAGGAATTAAGAATCCCCATGCGCCCAAAGAACTGTCTAAACTAAGAAACTCTATATGAATGTTAGTTTTCCTTACTATTAATGGTAGAATGCTTATTTTAAAAATCCCTGAGGCATTTCATAAGCAGATAGTCCCTTTCCCTTTGTATTTAGGCTTTAGAATAATGTGAGAGGTACAATAAAATGTAAAATTTTATCATTTTTATGATAAAATTTTATGATCATTTTTTCATGCCTATGTATATTCAGGCATAAGTTTGTTTTCACAGGATAGCTCCAAATTTTCCAGATAAACTTTCACTTCTTTCTTTTCACTCAATAGAACTTACTTCTTTTTCTATTCATTCAGTTATCCCACTCTAAATACTAGTGTTCTCTTTATAGATGGAAACGTGAAGAAGGCAGATCTTACTTCAAGGGAGGTTTTTTTTTTTTTTTTTTTTTTTTTTTTTTTTTTTTTTTTTTTTTTTTTTTCTGCTCTCATGCACTATACCATTATTTGAGCATTCTAAGGAAAATTTAGAAGTGGTTTTTAAGAGGGCTGTGGTGCTCTGGGGAACAGCATCTTAAGGGCAATCTTGTTAGGGAGGGTGTTTGAAAGCCACTTCAACAAGAATGGTTGCTTTCTACCTGTAATCTAAGCGCACTTGTTTCCGTCACTGGACGGAACTCTGATACTGTTCTGACAATGCCTTTTCATAACCCTAACCTGTGGCTCTGGTTACGGCCGTTCCTCAGTTCTTGCTTTATCATGTGGGCAACTGCTGTGCTCAGAGACTTTGGGAGTACTCACATGTTTCACTTTCCCTCTGTCATTTTAAATAACTGCTGCACAAGCCCTTGTTTATTTCTGTGTAATTATTACTTTATCATATATGATGTTATATGCCAGTTTGATTCTTTTTTGGGGAGAAGGTAAAGGGGAGGGAAGATAGGAAAATAAAGGCAGGCTTGTACTATTACGTTTTTACAAATTTATTTGAAAGTGAGTCTTTCCCAGAATTACCTACCACCTCTTATGGTCAATTGAACAGAGTTAGTGCCAAGGACAGTTTATAACATTTTTAAAATGATCAAAAATTCACCCTAACTTTGAAGGTCCTGAAATTACTGACACTGACCCATATAAGAATTTGCAAATTAAATGTGGTACATAGTTTTAAAATATATATTTACCATATATATATATACATAACACTCATACACATATAGCTATATCTATTTATCTATCTAGATTATCTATCTATATCTATCTATCTATATTTCATATTTAAGTACTTAAGTACTTAAATATGAAATATAGATAGATAGATAGATAGCTATAGATAGATAATAGTACTATCTTAAGTATCTATAGATACTTAAGTACTTAAGTATCTATAGATAGATAGATAGATAGATAATCTAGATAGATAGATATAGCTATATGTGTATGAGTGTTATGTATATATAGATATATACATACATATCTAGATAGATAGATAGATAGATAGATAGATAGAAAGCTATTCAGCCGTTCCTGATAGAGGATGTAAAGGAGAGTATTAGTTACCCCATTCTGGAGAATTCAGCTTACAGTGGAAAACATGAAGGAGAACGTTTAACATCTGCGTAAAACACTCATTTCCTGGTCCTTCTAATGATGCATTCAGGTATGAAGAAATGTTTTCTATTTACTTGCTCAGAGTTCTTTTAAATAAAGGAAGAGAATCATAGCAGCTTCCGACTTTGGAGCCCACAGAGTTGCAGCCAAATGACTTGCTATTACCCTAGCTCTTTATATTTGCTGAATGCTTTTCAGTACATCTAATTGTGAGTATTCACAGCCCTTTCTGGTGGTGTGAAGAAGGGTAGTGTTGCTCTCATGCGGATTACAAAGCTAAAACCGGAAGAAGGGGAAAAAAATGATGGCTTAAGGTATTCTTAGAAGTTGAGTTCAAGCCTATAGTTTGTTTTTCTCTTTAAGATCTGGAAACGTGAAGAATCTGGTGGCAGTGAACCCAGTAATAAATATGACGTGAATATTATAATTTTTTTATTTACTTATACACTATAGTAATTAATTCGCAGTAATGAAGTAGTAAACCTGATAATATCTGATCTAAATGATCAGCATAAGGAACTGTGTCAAGATCAAAATTCAGGATGACTAAGAGGTAGAACGCAAGATACTCATTCAGAAGGATGTAAGAATAACCAAGAGAACTGAACGACCTCTCTAAGAGCACCAAGAAACATTTACGCCAGGATACACAAAGAACTGAGGCAGCTGGGGAGTTCAGCGGTGGTGTCAAGAGATGCTTGCTATTTTATATTGGGATGTATATGCTGTCCATCTTCTAGAGAGCACAGAGAGAGCAGAAACAAACCTGAGACTTAATTAGCATCATGGGATTGAAATAGCAAACTATGAACAGATAAAAAATGCGTGTTATATGAGTATTGAGGAAAGACCTAAATCGAAATGTGTTATTCTATGATAATATTTGTTTACTCACAGACATTTGTTGAACATCTTCCTTGTGCTACGCCATGCATAGATTCTGGGGATACATAGTGTTTGTCTGATGAACTATGAATGGATGCTAAACTGTGTCAGCACAGATAACTATGAATATCTAGGACTTACCAGTTTACGCTGGCATGGTACAAACCATAGATCTTTGGACACATTCTTTCTTTTCCCAGATTATCAAAGACCAAGATTTTCCAGGATAATGGGGAGCAAGTCAGTATTAGATTCTGCACTGACTCCAGGAAGTAAGGTGTCTCGGGGATATTAGGACAATTTTAGGGCAATGGAGTTTGATTTAGAAAGTTGGCTTTGCACAGACATTTCCCAGGTGACTCTTGTCTAGATCACCGCTTCGTGTCAGTTCTTATGGACAAGACTTCCCCTTGGATACCTCTGGCATTAGGGAGGCACTAATGTACTTCTCTGCAGCTGTACTTTCTAGAGACCAGGTAAGGATAATGACCAAGAGTCACTTGAAAGGCAGGTAGATATAGATGATGAGTAACTGCCTGGGGCCTTTTACAAGCTAATATTTATAAATGTATATTACTTGGCTGGGCATCAGACAAACCAGTTTAAACCTATTCTGTGCTTTCTCTGGGGCAGATGTGCAAACATTAGAAGCATGTGGAGCCCAGGGAAAGTATGCAAACACTGATCAAGTGCACAGGCTGTGTGACTTTGGCGCTTTTCATGATGTATAAGCACAGCTGCCTTTTTCAGGAGTTGTGAGCTGGAGTCGTGAGCAAAGTGTTGTAGGAGTTGCATTTTTCAGGAGAGTGAGGTGCCGATGAGTGTTACCCTCTCTGATAGTCAGGAGAGGATCATTGAGGGGGTGGTTTTTGAGAGCTGGTTTAAGGTAGAAAGGGAGGGAATCTACCATCTGGAAGTGTGATGATGTTCCAGGCATTGGGTACAGCTTCTTAAAGTAGGCTTTGCTTCTGGAGTAAATGAAAAAAGGGGACATTTAATTTACTTGACTGAGAAAAGCTGAGAGAGCAGGGCTGTTGAGAGCCCTTGGTTGGCTGTCAGATATCACTCTCTCTCTCTCTCTCTACAACTTCCTGGCCTCCCAGCTCTGAAACACTTCAGTAAATATTGCCACACAGGATTGATTCAATTCAATCTTTTTCAAAATACAACTGTGTGGTAGGTGATGGCATCATCATTTCACAGACGAGTAAACAGAAGCCCAGAGAACTTAAGCAGCTTGTGTGGCAAGGATTTAAAACTTGCTGTGTGTTTACATACCGCATATGAATTCGCACACATATAGATGGTGGGGATTACGAATGCAAGGAAAGTTATTTTTTGAGTCCTTCATGCCAGTCACAATATTATAGACTGGAAGGACAGCCAAAAGACAAATTCCCCTTTTTTGAGGAATTTTCAACATAACCAGTCTTGATACCATAAATAGGAATGCAAAGAATAAAAGCAACATTAAAAATGCATGAAGAACACTGAAGCACCCAAAAGATTTCAGGGGTGGCCAGCCTGGGACAGGGCTATTCAGGATAACTTTTTGAGGGTGAGCTTGGAGCCAGGTTTTGTAGTTAGAAATGAAGGCCGTGCATGGTGGCTCACACGTGTAATCCCAGCTCTTTGGGAGGCCAAGGCAGGTGTTCAAGACCAGCCTGACCAACGTGGCAAAACCTTGTCTCTGTTTAAAATACAAAAAATTAACTGGGATAGTGGTGCATGCCTGTTATTCCTGTTATGTGGGAGGCTGAGGCAGGAGAATCGCTTGAACCCAGGAGGAGGAGGTTGCAGGGAGCTGAGATTGTGCCACTTCACTCCAGCCTGAGCGACAGAGTAAGACTCCATCTCAAAAAAAAAAAAAAAAATTAAAAAAACTGTAGGCTGTATGTATTCAGAAGAAGCATAGGTAGATGAAGAATGCCCAATCAGTGAAGGGCCTTGAGTAGAAGCACAATTTAGTTGATATTTCTCTTTAGGACTCCCCAAGATCTTAAGGGAAGTATTTTTAATGAAAATGATAAACAAAGCATCACTGGATTACATGAGATTAGAATTTGAAAACATAAAATCTGTGAAGGTGATTAACATAGAACAATAGAAAGAGATTGACTTTCAGCAGCCTTTTTTTTTTTTTTTTTTTTTTTTTTGCAAAGTGTAATTCCTGGCAACGTGGTTGACACTGAAATGTTGGATAAACATAAATGGAATAAATGGATTATGATAGTAACTGGGAATGTAAAAGATATGAGGTAAATATAGATTTTTCATACAGAAGAGACATATTGAAAGAAAAACTTTGTCCAAAATTAAAAATATTAAATTATTATTATCTCAGTAAAATCTGGAGATTCTATGGGGATAGGGAGAGGATCTATCATTCAGGGTCCAGTTGCAGAGGACAGAATCCACCCTTCTGTTTTAAACAAGAAGGAATTTGTTATGGAGCCATGGTGAGTGAGCCTCAGAATCATTGTACAGCTGAAGTAGTGGACTCTAAACTAAGCTTTCATGAACAACTCTCGAACTCAAAGCTGCTCCCAAAACTGGGACCCCACATTGCTGCTGCCATAGCAACTTACTAAGAAGCTGTTAGGATCAGGAAGGCACTGCCATCAGGACCTGCCTCGGCACCAAGCAGTGGCTCCTCTCATCGGCTCCATGACTGCTCCTGTCTGCACTAGCAAATGGATGTTTTTTTTTGACACCACATAGTTAGGGGCAGAAAATGGGGAACTCAGCCACAGAAAACTGATGCCTCCAAGACTGAACTTGACTACAGAAACAGCAGAAGTGGCTGCTCTCTCACAAATCTCTTAGGAAGGCATTTCACTAACTAAACCAGAGTTACCTTTCAGCCTCTGGCTCTGAAGAGGCCAGCTTCCAGCACTTTGCAGCAAAGGCAGTTATGTCCACACAGAGAGGGAGAGGCAATGTAGCAGCAAGTATCTGGAAGGAAGAAATAGTTGGTATTTGTTTGCATATGATAACAAACATTTGGTTTCGTTTGATTCCTAGTATTAGGAATTTTGTTTTTAGAAGATTTTAATATAGTTTTTTGTGACGGGGAGGTAACAACTTACAGAATCAAAAACAATGATAGAACTTTTACATTAACAAGAGAAAAAAGGTAATAAGCTGAAACTCTAGCAAGCCAGCAAACAGTAGAAGAGGAGAAACCAACAATGTAAACGAAATTGTAAACAGAAAATAAGAAAAAAGAAGGAAAAAAATCAAGTCCATTTATTGCTACATTAAAATGTAAAAGGACTAAATACCCATATGTAAAGAAAGATCAGGATTATATTGGATAAAAATAAAAACACACAAATCGCTTACAAAAACTATACTTTAAGCACTATTTAGGGAAGTGAAAAGGTGAACAGAAATATATAACACAAAGAGCAAACAAAATAAAAACACTAAGAGCACTTTGTACTGGAAAGAAAGCATAAAATAGTAGAAAGAGGAACAATTTGTGAAGTCATAAACTTGCATGTCCAAATAACATAGCAACTATAAATGCATTTTTAAAACTGTCGCAATGCAGGAAGAATTGATTAATACTTTGGTTTTGTAGTGGTATATTTTAATGAGTAGATAGTAGGTAACAGGTTAGGGCAGAGAGACTTTGATGATCCAATTTAGCAACTGACTTACTAGGTATATATCATAGAATTTCATATCCTTTCTCTAGTTTCCTAGTGCCATGAAACACTTAGAAAAATTAGTCAAGTACTTGGCCCAGAAAAATAGCTTGAAAAACTCAAAAGAGCTTTTATAGACCACATTCTTTCAGTATTGCCCAATAAAACTAGAAATAAGTACTGAAATACAACCAAAAATTTTAACAACTTGGAAATTAAGAAACACACTTGGGACAAAGATAAAATCAGGGTTAAATTCTGAACTATCTGTAAAACAATGAAAAGGAGAACACTTCAAAATCTATGCAACACAGAGACACTGCCAATAATAGAGGTTAATGCATAAGAAACTAGAAAAAAAATACACCAAAAGAAAAGAGAATTTAAAAAGATGAAAGCAGAGATTAGTGAAATGGAAAATAGCAACAACTAAAATAGAGAATGGAGAAATAATTTCAAAAGTTAATTTGGGGTAAGATACAAATCCCCTCTGGAACCTTTCTCTAGACAAAAGTTAGAAATGTTAAAACAAACATAACTAAAATGTTGAAGAAATTCTAGAAGATAGAATATATCATGCGTAACTTTTTAGAAACTGGATTTTTTAAAATCATACTTTAAGTTCTGGAGTACATGTGCAGAACATGCAGGTTTGTTACATAGGTATACCTGTGCCATGGTGGTTTGCTGCATCCATCACCCCGTCATCTACATTAGGTATTTCTCCTAATGCTATCCCTCCTCTTTCCCCTCACCCGCTGCTATGCCTCTCTTAGCCCCCCACCTACCGACAGGCCCTGGTGTGTGATGTTCCCTTCCCTGTGTCCAGGTGTTCTCATTGTTCAACACCCACTTATGAGTGAGAACATGAGGTGTTTGGTTTTCTGTTCTTGTGTCAGTTTGCTGAGAATGATGGTTTCCAGCTTTATCTGTGTCCCTGCAAAGGATATGAACTCATCGTTGTTGTTTTTTTTTTATGGCTACATAATATTCCATGGTGCATATGTGCCACATTTTCTTTATCCAGTCTATCATTGATGGGTGTTTGGGTTGGTTCCAAGTCTTTGCTATTGTGAACAATGCCACAATAAACATATGTGTGCATGTGTCTTTATAGTAGAATGATTTATAATCCTTTGGGTATATACCCAGTAATGGGATTGCTGCGTCATATGGTATTTCTGGTTCTAGATCCTTAAGGAATTGCCACACTGTCTTCCACAATGGTTGAACTAATTTATACTCCCATGAACAGTGTAAAAGCATTTCTGTTTCTCCACATCCTCTCCAACATCTGTTGTCAGACTGATGCTCCATCAGAGTGATGGAGTCTCACTCCGTCGCCCATGCTGAAGTACAATGGCGTGATCTCAGCTCACTGCAACCTCTGCCTCCTGGGTTCAAGGAATTCTCCTGCTTCAGCCTTCCGAGCAGCTGAGATTACAGATGCATGGCACCACACCCGGCGAATTTTTGTATTTTTAGTAGAGATGGAGTTTCACTATGTTGGTCAAGCTGGTCTCGAACTACCAACCTCAGATTGTCCACCTGCCTTGGCCTCCCAAAATGTTGGAATTACAGGTGTGAGCCACCATGCCCAGCCTTGAAACTAGATTTTTAAACCTAGAGCAGGGATCTTCATACTTTCTCTGTAAAGATCAGAGAGTAAATATTTTAGGCTTTTTAGACCATACCACCTCTGTCACAACCACTCAACTCTGTCACTATAGCACAAAAGGAGCCTTAGATATCATAATATCAAATGGGTATGACTGTGATCCAACAAACTTTATTTACAAAAATAGGCCATGGGTGGATTTTGCCTGCAGGTCATAGTTTGTTAAGCCCTAAACCAGAGGAACCCAGTATAGCAAAATATAAACTACCAAAATTGCGCCAAGGAAAATTTAAAACTTGAGTAGATGAATTAATATTATATTTAGTGTAATTTCATTTAAAGTCCCAACAAAGATATTTTGAAATTAGATTAAGTGTGCTTAGAGCATCTATTGAAAAATAAATTGTGAGACTTGACAAAGCATTATGATAACTATAAGCAGAAGAAATTGTCTTATGTGCCGTTAATATATACCATAAAGCCACCTTCATCAAAACAGTGTGACATTGACACCATAGCTAAGCACCAGAGAATAGATAACAGATGGATCTTAGAATTTTCTGGAATTTAATATTTGTGATTCAGTGGGAAATAGGCTATATTTAGTAATAACTGACCATCCATTTTTTTAAAAAGTGACTTTTATTGCATGACTTATAAAGTTAATTTTATATAGATTAAAATCTTCACCAAAAATTTTAAAACAATGCAAATATTCACAGAAAAATGAGATGACCAAGTACAATGTAGTAATTGGGGTGACTCATTCAGCCAATGGGGAAATGCAAAGGTACAAAAAAAAATAGGCATTTTATCCTTTATGAAAATGTTAAATATTTGCATGGAAAAAAATCATCATATTCAAAAGACAAACAATAGATGAGAGAAAGATGTTCATTACATATAGCAGTTAATTAATTTCAATACAATAGGAAACAATCTAATAATCTGATAGAGCAATAGAAAAATAGTCAGATAATTTGAATGAGCAGTTTACAGAAGAGCAAAAATAACTGGCCCGCCATGGACGAAAAGATTGTTCACTATGCTAAGGAAATGCAGATTTAAGTAACAATATGATATTATGTTATATCCTTTGGACAGGCAAAAAAATTAAAATATGATAATTCCAATTGCTGACAAGGATAGAGAAAGAGTAGTTTCATGTGTTGCTCATAGAAATGTGAATTACTACACTCTTTTTGGAAAATAATCAGGTAACAGCTATTAAAATTTAAATTCTTCTCCTGGAACTTTCCAGAACTAAAACTACCTTAACTAATGATATATGTACAAAACCGACGTGTTGCAGCACTGATTATAGTAGGCAGACCTCTCTCCAGAAAAAAGCAAAATAAAATAAATATCCATCAAAAGGCCAATGTTTGAAGCAAATGCAGTATTTGCTTACCATGAAATATTCAGCAGTCTTTCAAAAGAATGAGTTGTAACTCCAACACTTGGCACTTACACTTAGTATGAATTGTGAAGATTAACAAGATGGAGAGGAGTTTATAAAATATGAAATCATTTTTGTCAAACAGTGGCAAAGACTGGTGTTTGTGTGTTTAATTATATATACTGTAGTGTGTATGTATAATTATACTATAAACGTGTATGTACACACATATACACACACATTGCCAAAGAATAAATGAAATCTTGTTTTATTTTAAATCCAGAAAGTGTTGGATGCACTTTTAGTTGTAATCCCCCCTCAATCCCCCCTCAAAGAGAAGATATTAGTTAAACTACCCTCTCAAACACTGGGAAATTAAACAGAGATTTTTTTTTTTAATGATGTTCATTAGCAGGAGTATGGTGGAGAGTCAGAGAGCATTTACTTTTAAGATTAATTAATAAAGATCTTGTTTTAAAAGTTTCTGTTGAGAAAAGGTCCTGGTTTTACGGCATCACCCATTGAGAGTATCCCTTAGTTAGCCAAGCATATATGAATTAGTACATTCCACCAAAGCCTTCAGCTTCTTAGGTTTTGGAACTAGTTACCATATCTGGAAAAAACCAGTGACTCAAATGGAAACTTTACAGTGTTTCTCTCCTCCGTTAAGATATCCACGTCATCAGCTTGTTATCCAAGTGGAAAGGCACATTTTTATCCTTCAGTGGATCTGTGTTCTTCACCTAGTAAGAGTTGATTCTTCCTCCCACAGCTGCATTCTTAGTGTAGCTAAAAGTGGGTGCACTCATTTTGTTTACTCCCACCCTTACCTTCTTGAAAAGAGGGAATTAGATTGGTAGTATGTGGAAATTTAGATATTATGTGAAACAACAAAATTAAATATCCTTCTTAGAAGCGGTTTTCATACTTCTCAAAAATTGACACGGTAATAAATACATTTTATATCACGTTGAGTTGTGTTGGTGTGTGCATGCCTGTGTGTGTGTGTATAAAATAATGAATGCAATTTTGTGAAATATTACTTGTTCTTATTATATGCATTCCAAACAATTTCTACTCTATTCTAGTCTACTTTATTTCATTTCATTTAAAATGTACTGATCACAGCACACTAAGTTGACTTAGTGACCCGCTAAATGTGGTAGTGACCTGCAGTTTGAAAACATACTGCATCAAAGGACTCCTATCAAAGCAGCATGCATGGCATTCCACGGTCAGAAGATTTTCACTGAACTGTAGAGATAGTTTATTCAGTGAGGTCAAATACAGACCTAGGCATCTTTCACTTCATTTCACATATGCCAACAAAGTCAGCTTATGTGGAAGACCTTCTGATAGCAGGTTCCTTGAGGCTTTTTAAGTTTACCTTAGGCAACAGCATTGCAATACTTCTAGAGAATTAGCTTAAACTAGAGGCAAATAAGTTTTAACTGCTGTGGCAGATCCCTTAGCTAATGATTTTTCTCCTACAGTTGGGACTGTCATTAGAAGCCTGGCCATCCTGGCATAAATAGAAGCCATCTCAGTTGATTTCAACTCTGCCCTAAGTTTTCTTGGATTCTTCTTCCATTTAGGCTTTAAAATAATATGCTAAAGTTGGAAAAAGAATTTCCATATGAAACTAAGCAACACTTAAATATGTTCTTTTATAATAATAACCCCAGTTGGGCATATTGCCAAATTAATTATTCATAGAGTCAGTAGAGATCAGTTGTACACTGTTTCAAATGCAGGATTTGTGTGGGTCATCAGAACAGAGGTGACTTATGTGCAGGCATTTAAAGTGGAAGTGTTTGAAAATCTGACTCATACTTTGACTGCAAAGTGAAATGATGTGTGTTCTATCTAACTAGATTTGGGAGCAAAGAATTTCGAAAAGCTGGTGGAATTTTGACTCTGCCTATGGCCTCTTTTACAGTATACCTAATTCAAGATGTGTATAAAAAACATTTTAAGATAGTCGCTAGGAAAACAAAGATCTTTTCTATCCTGCCATTTACTTAATTTTTTTAACCTAACTTGTTTTTCCTAATGATTAACATTGATGCCTTTGATTGTGTGGGTGCTGTCAAAAGACAGTTCATCATGTGGGGAAAGGTTGGCAACCTCTCTCTGCTTGGTACATTTCCATGAGCCTTCTTTCACTACTCTCATTGTTATTTCCTTTTCACTCTGAAGTAGTTCCAAACCTGATATTGAAGGAACTCGATTTTATTTTTATGTATTTGAAGTAAATTGAGCCATTTTTGTTTTTAGGTTTGTTTAATATGCTCCACACAGAGAAGAATGTAAAGTAAAAGCAATAGCAATAATAACTTATGTTTGACAAAACACATAACAAAAAAAGGGTATTTTGAGACATAGAAAGTCAAATTATAGTTACCCCTAAAATTCGCCCTTCCATTTTCTTTACTAGAATTCTCTATCAACATTGGAGTGTTGGTGGTTAGGACAGAAGGAAGTATACATATAGCTATCTGCGTCTAAGACATCCGCCATGTCTTTCTATAGCTGAAGAAACTTCAAAGTAACTAAAAGTGCCACTGGAAATAGTTTCTGCAAACTATATTAGCTATAATTTGAAGAATTTCTACCAACTGTGACTTTGTGAATGGCAGGAATTAATATTCCTTTCTTAGTTTGTAGGACTGTCAAAATATGATCCCAATTTTGTGACCAGCCCCAAATGAAGCCGACTGTTGTCCCTGGTGCTCCATTTTCTGCATAGGTTCTAGGTCATTTTTTCTGAAAATAGTACTGAAGTTGGTGGCATGTGGGAGTCACTGCAACATCCAAACTGCTGACAGGAACCTGTGAGACTGAGAGCCATGTAGAGTGTCTCAGCGTGCTTGACAGCAGCAGTCCTCAGACTTTTTGGCACCAGGATCCCATTTCATGGAAGACAGTTTTTCCACAGATCAAGGTAAGGGGATGGTTTTGGGGTGATTCAGGCACATTACATTTATCATGCACTTTATCTTATTATTATATTGTAATATCTAATGGAATAATTCTACAACTCACCATAATGTAGAATCAGTGGAAGCCCTGAACTTGTTTTTCTGCACCTAGATGGTTTCATCTGAGGGTGACGGAATACAGTGACATCATCAGGCATTAGATTTTCATTAGGAGCACTCAGCCTAGATCCCTCAATGTGTAGTTTATGATAGGATTCATGCTCCTTTGAGAATCAAATGCTCTGCCACTGATCTCACAAGAGGCAGAGCTCAGGCTGTAATGTAAGCAATGGGGAGCCACTGCCAATGCAGATGAAGCCTTGCTGGCTCATGCCACTCACCTCCTTCTGTGCTGCCTGGGTCCTAACGTCTGTGGCCCAGGGGTTGGGGCCCCTGCTTTAGAGGATGTTGTACTGAATATATTATTCTCTGTTGCTACATCAAGGAAACAATGGCACTATCTACTCTTGCCTTCACTCTACGTATTGACTGTAGTGATTTGTATATCATATTACATTATGTGGAATCTTAATATGATTTTAAATTCATTTGTCCTCACAACTATAGTTAACATTTTTCTCTTAAACGGAATCATTCCTTGCTGACCCTGGGTTTTCTTTTCTTGTTGTGGAGTTGTGTTGTTGTTTATTTTGTTCCAACTGCATTTTCTTGATTCTCATCAAGAAAACGCTGAGAATCTTAGCCTTATTTCCTTGTGGATGATTTTGCAGAACAAACTGTCCTTTGGCGTTTGCACCTGCATGTCGCTCATTGTACACTTGCTTGATGTGTTTCTGTGAAAGGGAGCAGCTTTTCTTTCTCAAAATGAAGAAGAGAGAGGCCAAATGTCTTTTTCCAGCTCCCATGAAAATATGGATTTCATTCCTTTTCTTTGATTTTGAAAGGAAACGGTGAAGGGATAATGATGTGTTTAAAATTAGGTGAATTGTGTTCTTTCTTCTAACCGAAACAGTGCAGAGGAAACGACCCACTGTGAAATGTTACCTGTGCAGCATTGTAGATGTGTAAGAACAGCAGTGTTTTCTACTTGGCTGGCTATCCTGGCATGTAGTTCATCAAAATAGAGAAACAGGATGCAGACGTTCTGAGTGTAAGACCAAATGAACTCTAAGCATGTTTACCTCCCTATCATCTGAGGAGAGAGAGAGCTGTGAGCAAAGAAGGAAGTGAAAAACTGTGGAGTGTCTGGCTGTCCTCAGTGGCCTTCAGATACTCTGTTTTTTCTCCCCCTCCCTTCTGTTCATTGGACATTAACATACCTTGTCATTACAAGGTATTATTATTTTTTAACAAGGTAAGTTCAAGAAGAAAATATAAAAGAGCCAATATTCATAATGTGTAATAGCATTTGGACCTTGCTATTCGAAAGCGGAATCCAGGTAGAATCAAAAGATTTGAAGAAAATTATGAATGAAGGACCCTGACATATCTACTACCTAGCCACCAGCTTTCATGATGGCTTCTGTAGCATGCTAGGGGAGAAGAAAGCCATGTTCTCTCAACATTGTTCCCTGACGGCCTTTGTTGTAGGAGAATAGTGGGGGGGACTGAGGTTGGCTTTGACTACAAGTGGAAATTTTTGTTTTCCCGATGAGCCTGGCACTCAGGACACTGGACATTTCACTGTAGGTTTATGACTATCACCCCGTTGTAGTTCACCTGCTTTTAATGCCAAGAGTTTCAGAACCCAGCCGACCTGAGCGAAATAAAGTTCTTTGGGTTCGATCTGCAGCAATCGGAATGTTGAGAACAACAAAAAATTCCACTTTTCTTTACCTGGTGGTGCCTCAGCAGGATCCCGGAATGTACTTGCTGGTCTATAAGGAGAAGAGAACATTGCAGCTGTGATGTGACTCATTCACACTTTGTTCTTTTAATGGAGAAAAACCTGCAGTGACATCACCTGGCCACCAGGGGATGTGCTGTTGCCGGAAAGCCCTGGATTTTTTACCTGCCGGCACCTCCAGCGGCAGGAAGAAAGGCTTGCTTGTTTTTTGATGCAGTAGTACCTTAACAGAGAACCCCATCTTCATTCCTAAGGAAATCAGCATCAGTTTTGTGTTCCCTTTGTTGACCTTCCAACTAAGGCTAAGCCCGCTTTTCTGAGTTAATAAGAACCCAGAAAGAAAAGGGAACATTAGTCGTGGCTCCAAACAGCAACCAAGCACTTTGCTGCATACGATCTGCTTTGGTGGGTGGCCTGAGTCTGCACTGACCCACACAGACTCACCTCTCTCGTGGTCTGCACCTGACTTGCACATATACCTTGTTAATGAAGCCCAGTGAGAACTGGATCTATCACAAGTGTCCCACCTGATTTCTTGGAAGCTTTTATTAGCATCCATGTCCTCCATGGCAAACAGCTCTGTTTGGCTGCTTGTTGATAATAATCATTGCCAACATCTATTTATTATCCTTGTGTGTTAGACATTGTGCCCAACACTTCACACAATTTAGTCTCATTTAATTCCCCAAGTAGCTGTTGGAGATGGTTATCATTATCTTCTCTATTTTGCAGATGAGGAAAGTGAAGCATAGAGAAGCTAAATGTGATGACCAGGATCACTCTGCTGATAATTATGTTGCTAGGACGAGATTCAGGCCCCTCTAACTCTGAAGGCCATCCACTTAAATGATAATTTTCAAGTTCGGGGGATGGGGGCTGTGGCTAAGATCTGTCCTTGGTGGGGTATAGCAGAAGGACTTAGGAACTGTTCTGTTGTCTGTTGCCGTCACTCTGAGTCACGGTTCCTGATGGGTGTGCCATAGCCCTCAGGAGTATTGGGATGGAAAAATAGCTCAGAACCAGTGGACCAAAGGACGGTATAAAAGTCCTAAGCAGCTTTTCTGTGAATTATTGCCTGAGGCGTTCTCTCTGTGAGGGAAGAACTTCACAGGCCGCCACACTGCTGCGAGTGCTGAGGAAAGATGGAAAATAGCCATATATATATGGAAAATATATGACTGTTACAAATATGAAAACATATACATGAAAAACATACATATGCAAAACACATATACATGAAAAAATATATGAAAAATGCACATAAGTTCATGTGTGTATATATATCTTCCTCTTCCAATTCCAGCATCAGTGTTAGTAAGTGTGCAAGCTGTTATACATTATTATGCAATCATTTTTCATTGAGCAGCTGCTAGGAGCCTTGCAGAGTGAGCTGAGGCCTTGGTGGTCACGAAGGCCTGGCCCAGGTCTTCAAGGAACTCACAGCCCAATGGGTTTTTGCTTTTCTTGAGGCTAACACTGACAGCTCAACTTATAGATCAAGTCTCTTAAATCATGACTCAGACAGAGAATTTTGTGTAAAAGTCTTCTGAATTTTTTTTTTTTTTTTTTTTCAAAAAAAACCAGAAGGCTGAAAAAAGGACAAAGCCTCATGCTTTTGTTTCTGATAGTGGTGGACTGGAACTACTTGTGGACTTTAATTGTTTGTTTTTGTTTCTGTTTTACTTAATTATAGGATTAGTAATAGGTGTGACTTTTTCCATTTCCTTTGGATGCTTCTAGTTTGCAATAAATTAGAAATGCTGACTGACAGCAGGCTAAGTAAGATCCAGAATAACCATTAACTCTACAGTCTCAGCATTACTGAGCTGTTTATTTAAAGGTTAAGGCCATTTATAACTCAACAGCCCCTCAGGTCATGCATGAAATACATCATAGCACCAGGAAAGTAGTGTTTACTTCTTAAACACATCTCTTATCCTATCATTCTCCTGCTCAAAAATCTGTGCTTCTCCACTGCTTCCAGACTCTTTACCATGGAATTCAACGTCCTCTATGATACAGAACAAATGTCCTTTTTGGCGTATTTCCTGCTAACCTTAGGTTCCCCTAGAACCCTGACCCTAGATAATCAAGCAGCTCTTGGTTCTTGTAATATACCTGATACTTTGCTAACGATCTTCCATACAAAATGCCCTCCCCACCTCTATCTGTCAAAATCTTATTTTAATACATGTGTTTCCTACTTGTTAAGACCAAAGTCAGGCAATGTTACCTCTGTAAAGATCTTTAGTATCAGCCATTGGAATTAAACATTCCTTATTTTTGCTAATAGCCCATAGTTTAGATCTTGGCTGAAGTATTTAATGTATTCTTTTTTATTTACAGTGAGTACGTATCAACCTAAAATAATCAAAAAGGTCAGAATCTGACTTAAAGAGAGTTTATTGAAGGGCAAAGTTTGAGGATAGCCTGGAAACACCTGGAAACACCAACTCCAAAGGAATAGAGTTGGCATTCTGAAGTAGGGAAGTTAAGGTTTCATTTATATATAGTCAGAGATGGGAGTTTTTAGCAGGATTACAGCATTTTTCAGACAAAGTTGGCACACAGTTGCAGCAATTTGATTGGTAATAGGCTGTGTTTCTTTTGGGGAGGATACATTTAACATTTGTTACAGAGGGTATAGTAGTTATGGGTTTTCTGTCATCTGGCCCAAGCAAAGCAGGACAAGAAAGGAGAAGTTAATCTAACAAGGGTCATTAAGATGACAGCAGGTTTTTGTTCCTGTTGTTATTGAAGGCTCTCTAGTCACTGTACAGAGCAAGAGCAATAAGAAACAAGTTGTTCTATAATCCGACAAACAGAAGTCGCAACCCTGTGTGGCTCGGCTCACAATCACGTCTCTCTCAAGGCTTAAAGTATCTTCAGGGTTCCAACAACTTTTAAATCATATTTATTTTTACATCGGGTACATTGAGAACCTCTAAGTCCTTTGGGGGTAAGAAGCATATCTTATGCATTTTGTGTCACCCATCCATGAGAGAAAGACTTGATATACAATGAGTAAATTTTTAAGTGGCATAAGATTAAGTAAACTTTAAATCTATGGAAAAGGCACGTAGGTGAAATTGTCTGATGAAACAACAAATTGCATTGTCGTCTTGCTCCAGTCAACAGGCATCTTTTTGATCTTTTGATGTATCAAGCAGGATTTTTTTTACCCCTAGGGCATCTGGCTTAGCTGTTACCTCTCCCTGGAAATTTCTTTTATTCTGGGGTGTCACATAGCAACCCCTTCTTAAGGCAAAGCACGCTGACCCATCTTAGGCTTTCTCTGACTTCTCAGACCATTGCTGGTCTTGCATGGGGACAAAGCCTGTCTGCAGTCACTCAGTGCTATCACAGCCAGGTCAGTTGTGGCTCATCTGCTCATCATGTGTCTCTTAAACTTCAGGAGAGCAGAGGCCCTGTCTGCTCTGATAATCGTTGTATCTCCTGGACCTAGAATAAGTGCCCCTTACATCATATTATATTATTTAAAATCAGTGGGTTTTGACATTGGCTGCCCATCAGTGTCATCGGTGGCGCTTAACAAAACACAGATGTGCAAAGTTGACCTCAAAGATTGTAATTCAGCAGGACTGGAGTGATGCCTTTAAATTTGGCTCCAAATGTATCAATCATCAAAGACTCAGGAAAACAAGGGAAGGTAAACTTTCTGTAGCTTCCGAAGTTGTGGCTGTTTTTAAAACTGTTTATATTTTCTTTTAAATCCTTATCCTATATCCTTAAGCCTTGTGACTGCTGCAGAGAGAAAACAAGATCAAACACGAGCTTACATTAGCCACAGAAACACCTGGGGCAGTTCCAAAGTTTTAATTACTGCTTCATTAATGTAAAAGCTTAATTATAGTTTGAATGTATAAACAACTTTGGTCATGTGCCCTGCAAATACGAAGTAGTCAAAATAATTATTATCACGGCTCCTATCTCAACGCAAGACCAATGATCACCGAATTATTTTTAAGACATGGACTACATTTAAATGTTTATTGAATTATATTTTCTGTTAGCTTATATAGAGCACATGACATTTAATAACTTAAATGTATATACTTCGGTGCTTGTTAGATTCTATTCAAATTGTATAGCAAATGTCCTTGAAAATAGAACTTTGATTTTTCCTTACATTCCTGTATTTGATAGCAGACTATTCTTAGACTCTCCACCTCACTTACCACCATGGTGTCTATGGATTTATAAATATGACATGCTGTCAGCCTTACTTACACATGAGGCATGGAGGTGAGAGTGAATAAGAATCTTGCTCTGAGCCAATTAGTTGCAGACCCTGCATTGGAATTCCTCTCCCATAGTATCAAAAGTGTAGTCATATTCCTAGATCATTAGGCAGGAAAAAAAAAAAGAAAAGAAAAACTACTCAGAGACATCTGGCCGGATCTGTGCCTTTCATCAGAATAATCATGTCCTAAATCTTCCACTGGGGTTGTCAGAAAAGCTTTTTCCCAACTTTTTCTAGACCATGGAAAGCTACATTTAATTTATAACCTGAAAATATTCCCTAAAACAGACTCATAATCATGCTTTCTGAAATTTTAGCCCAGTCTTCTTGCTTGCTGAGAAAAGAGCTGGCTGTCCTTCCCCTTTGAATAAGCCTCCTTGTATGAACACTCTCTAGAGATATCCCTTTTCCAGATGAAAATCTGTTTTATTTGTTAGCATGTTGAACCCCAGCCACTTGAATCATTTTGCTTTTTCATCTTGGTAGGTCTGTTCTCTCTATACTCTAATTTAATAGCTCTAAACTGCACATATCCACCACGTGATCTAGTTCAATATCAAGCAGGTATCCAGTGAGTTCACAAACTCAGAAGTGCAAGAAATGTAACTTTTCTTATTTTTCTGAAACTCATTTTCACTTCCATTTCGAATTCTTTTTCTGCCAGGAGAATTTTAGGAAAATGTTTGTCCCCAGATCAAGAGACATTCCCCTTTTTCTGCTTGCCAGGCTCAAAAGTATAGACTCTTTTGAAAAGTGTAGAATTTAAAACTCTAAGAGGAAGAATAATCAGGAGTTTTTTAAACAAAGTCTATTTTCCACCCAAGGTGGAATATAATATAAAGTACTAATCAGTTATACAAACATATTATTTATAAAATAACATATAATTTGACAGTTTTCTAAGCTTAGGCCACACTTCAGAAGCAAGAGTGCCTTTTCAATGATTCTGTCAACTAAGGTATACCCTCAAAAGATTATAATCACATGGCTAGTTGCTTTTCCTTACATTTTAGTACGAAGGATTCAAATTATCCGTGGGGAGCAGGAACTAAGCAAACAGAGTGTACATAATTGCTGAAGCAGTGATGACAGTCAAAAGAGAATGGGAAGCCCACTAAGCCTCAGAGGGGAGGGGTTGCCCCATCCAATTTTCAGAGTCTAAAAGAAGGATTTGGGTGTCTAGTACCTGAAACAACAGAGGCACTAGTGTCTCCAGAGAAAAGGAAATAGAAGAGGGAGGGAAGGAATGTTACAACAGGGTGTGATTAATGGCAGCTCACTGCTGGAGGTCACTCCGGAGAGGTTGGGTAAATGCTGCAGTTCAAGGTCAGTGTGGGGCAGGCCAAGGGATCCGTTAACTCTGGAACTTCTGAGTGAGTCCTTGGCTCCAGTTAAATTATAAGCAGCCAGGATCTGGGAAGGTCACCACAGTCAAAGCCCTACCAGGAACTGGGATTGTACCCTGGGCTGCAAGCCAAGACCAAGGCACTCTGGCTGCTCTGAGTGTGATCTTGAACTCTGCTTTGCCCTCCAGGAGAAGAAGCCAAAGCTCTGTCTGCCTTCAGGGACAGAGGTTTGCTGTTAGTTTCCTGATTAAAACAGGAACAAACCAAGAGGCCATCAGACATTGGGAAGTTCTTACAGTGCTCTAAACCCTTTCAGGCAGTTAGAGTCTTCTGTGTCTATTGTCTTCACAGCCATCTTGTATAGTGTTCTAAACCTATAGTAAAAAGTGATTTTCAGCTATTTACTAGAGATAGGAGAATTTCAAAGTCTTTCCTTCATTGTCCATCTCTACTCGCTTGGGTAGAGTTATAATCAGTTCTATCTCTGCATACATACTTGCATGCATGGGGTAATAGAGATATATTTCCAAACACATGACCACAAACACATGACTGGCTTCCAAAGCTGAAAGTGCCAGGGGCACATGGGGATTATTGGTCACCTGAGTATAGAAAAAGCAGAGAAACCCAGCTCAACCACTCTCTGTCTGTGAACATCAGTTTTCCTCTTTGTAAATGAGGGATGCATATGAAATAATGTGCATAAAGTCTTCCGCACAGTGCCTAACACATTGCGAACACAAGTGTCAGCCAAAATTATGGCATGCAGCTGTCTTTGTGTCTGATGAGCAGAGTTTCCTCAATGCGTTCTCAATGGCTCAGTTTTGGAGACGAGCAATGTCTCGAGACAGTGCTGATTGCCACACTGGGGGAATGAGTACTACTCATATCTAGTTGGCAGAGGCCACATTATACACTGCTGAACATCCTACAGTGAACAGGTCACTTCCCCACAACCATAACAAGGAATTCCCCTCCCAAAATTCCGTAGTGCTGGGGCTAAGAAACCCAGCTAAATGGTCATAGCAAGATGAGATGAGGGTAGCTGATTTTCCTTCATCCTTAGGAATATGAACATGTTAACATATTAACGTTACTGACCTCTACCAGCACTTAAAAAGACAAAGAGCCTGTGGAATCTAAACCCAGCTATGAAACAAAATCGGATTCTGGTGAGAGAAAAGTCTTCCTTAATCCTCAAGAGAAAATAAAGGGGTTTTGTGGTTTTGACTTAAATAATTCCAATGACTCGATTTGTTCATTGGACTACAGATTGAAGAACCTAAGGCTGGATTTTGTTGGTTTTAATTTTTACCAAAAATATAGTATAAAAAATGTTTTGTTAGACTTGTATGATTTACTAAATAATTATTGATATTTGCATGGCATGTAGGATCAAGAAAAAGTCACGTGTTAAATTCTATGTATAGAAATAATTATTTTCAGTCAAATGAAAGTAAAGGAGGCCAGGCGTGGTGCCTCATACCTGTAATTCCAACACTTTGGGAGGCCGAAGTGGGCAGAATCACCTGAGGTCAAGAGTTCAAAACCAATTTGACCAACATGGTGAAACCCCATCTCTGCTAAAAGTAGCTTGGATTACAGACCTGCACTTTGGGAGGCTGAGGCAGGAGAATCACTTGAACCTGGGAGGCAGAGATTGCAGTGAGCCACAATTGAGCCATTGCACTCCAGCCTGGGCAACAAGAGCAAAACCCTGACTCAAAAAAACAAAAAACAAAAAAACAACAAAATAAAAGTAAAGGAGATATTAAGTTTAGTTTGCCTGTGATATACAAATTAAATGTGCTAGAATTGAGCACTTACAGCACAAATTATAGGAAATAAGATGGTAAAAAATTACAAATTATTTAAGTTATAAAAATGTATAAAATACATAAAAATGCTTTGGAGTCTCAGAGTACGTTTTAAAGCTTGACTTTCATAGTATTTCCATGTTGTTCCATTACGTTAAGGGAAGCCTCCTTAGTCAGTGGCTCATCACCTCACTGTCTAGATTGGATTAGCAGGGACACAGGGTGATTTCTACCTTTCACAGTTGCTTGACTGTGCTAAACTTCTGAAGCACCACCTTTTAAAAGGGAGCATGTGTTTTCAAAGCCACTGATTGTTAAGCCCTTCTTTCAGTCATCTTAACTGCAGGCTTTCATTTTTGAGCTTTGTTTGCCATCTGGGAAGGATTTTTAAAGAAAACATAGGCCTCTTTCTACTTTTATGTTCAGCATGCCATAAATTCCATTAATGAATTCTTAAGATCATTTGATCTATTTAAAGAAATAGCTCTATATTCAGTCAGTTGTTAAAAAAATGTGTTCAAGATTATCTGTAATTGTACTAGCTGCAAACAGATTTACGTAGGTATTTTATTTGTAAAAAAATATATTTGAAATATTGGAAATGATTTCAGAAACTAGAGACAAAAGATATGCATGGTTTTTGAATAATTTAGCGTGTCCTAATTTTTAAATGTTCCTCAGTAGTCATTTATCTCCAGAGTGAGTAAATACAATTTTTTAAAAAAAATTAACAGTTAAATATGTGCTTATTGTAATCAGTCAAGTAATACAGAGAAATATAACAGGCTGAATCATCTTCTCACTGTTCAGCCTCACCCTTTTGCAGCAGCCAACATTAACAATTTGGTGTGTATCCTTTCTCACCTTTCTCAATGCTCATACAAATGCATGGACATTTATGTTCACATAAAAATAGTATTTTATTCCTCTCCCAAATGGTGCAGATGCAAACATAACTCATCAACCTTATTTTTGAATTCAACAATATGCAATGAAACTTCCTCTTAGTTAATAATGTCAATCTAATTCATTATTTTGTCAACTTATAGTAGTCAGAAGGGTCGGAATCCAATTTGAGGAGAGGTTATTTAAGTGCATATTGTGAGGATAGCCAACTCAAACACGCCAACCCCAAAGAAATGGAGTCAGCGTTCTGAAGTAGGGAAATTAAGGTTTCATTTATATAGTCAGAGACAGGGAAGTTTTTAGTAGGATTTCATTTTCAGACAAAGTTGGCACATACTTACAGCAATTTGATTGGTTTATAGGCAGTGTTTATTTTTGGAAAGGGTGCATTTTACATTCATTACAGAGGGTATAGTAGTCATGGGTTTTCTGTCATGTGGTCTTAGCAAAGCAAGGTACCAAAGAGGAAGTCAATCTATAGCAAGGGTCATTAAGAAGGCAGGAGATTTTTGTCCTGGACACTTAATTCTCTCTAGCCATTGTAGAGAACAAGAAAAATAAGAAAGTGAGTTAATGTATAATCTGAGAAACAGATATTATAACCATGTGTGACTCAGATCACAGTCACATCTTTCTCTAGGCTTAAAGTGCTTTGGGGTTCCAACAGCTTCTGCATTATATTTATTTTCACAAATTTTGATAACTGAAAAATAGTATACAGTGTGGACATATTATATTCGAATACTAGTGCCCTACTGACAGATGTTTAGGTTTTTGTCGTTTTTTACCACTACCAATAATGATTTAAACTCTCTCCTTAGGTTTGCACCTTTTTTTCTGTGAGGTTGATTCTCAGAAGTGGAATCGCGGTGTCAAAGGCTGTCACAATCAGGTGACACAGTGCAAAAGCCAACAGTGTGTGGTTAGAGGATCCATTTTTTCACAACCTTACCAGCACAGGCTCTTAGGCCATTTTGGCTTCTATGCACAGATCTCAGATAAAAAGCAGTATCTCTGTGATTTTAATTTGTGCTTTCCCTATGACTAGTGAGGATAAGTGTCTTTTCATATTTCATCTTGCTGCTGTATTTTCTTGTCTGTGACTTAAATGAAACTTTTCTAATTCTTGTATATTTTATTCTTGCTAAACATGTCGCAACTCAGAAATATGTATTTCTATCTCCTTTAGCATTTATTTTGCTGCCCAGATTTCAGGAGGAAAAGGGATTTTTTTTTTTTCCTGAACATTTTCAGTAGCAGCTATTTGGAATGCTAAAGAGTTGATGAGAGACATTGAAGAAATGGGAATGTTACTGAACCGATTTGCTTAAAGTAAAGGGAAGACTGTCTATAACTCTGAAAAATGCTTTTCAAATGAATTGGTTGGATCATGGCATCATTCCCTAACCCTCACCATAGCTTTGAAGTTGTGCAAGATTAAAGAAAAAGCTCAGGCCTGTCTGAGGAAGTCTTTCTATCTATCCCTTTATTAAAACATGCCTTGCAAAAAAAGCTACCTTTTGTCCTGCTTTGTGTTCATAGAGAATATCTCTCATTGCCAAGGGAATTTTTTTCCTAAACTAGCTCTAAAAGATGACTCAGCATTTATAAAATCAGTGAGCATTTAAGGAATGAACTAAAATGGAATGTGACCCGTCCAGGGAAGCTCAAGGCACGCCCAGTTGTGTTCATCTCACTCCATCAGGAGTTGAAGGAGATGAGAAACTGGTCCCAGATCCCTCAGCTGTAGCTTGGGTTGTAGGTTGGGTTCAACAATCAGTTCTCTGCTCTATTTTTGATGGTGAGAGGAGAAGAAGGATGAGGAGGAGGAGAAGAAGAGATTACGTCTCATTTTAATTCAAAAGAGTGACTTTTTATTAATGAGTTTGAATTCAGAATAATTTATTACCCTGCATTTTTCTTATAATATAAGAAGTGAGACTGTTTCCCTTTTTGCTTAGGGTGAAAATATAAGGCTGGGTGTTAAATTTGGAGGTTTATCTTTTTTTTTTTTTTTTTTTTTTTTTTTTTTTTTTTGAGACAGAGTCTTACTCTTGTCACCCAGGCTGGAGTCCAGTGGTGCTATCTCAGCTCACTGAGACTTCTGCCTTCCAGGTTCAAGTGATTTTCCTGCCTCAGCCTCCTGAGTAGCT